TACAATACAATAAGATTATAAAATACAAACATAGTAATTATAAACATCAGGCAATTATATGCTTCAATTTGATTAAATATTTATTATATTTAAATATAAGTTAACAAAATATAAAACGTAATTCTATATTGAATAACAACTAAACATTTCAATTAACAAAATAAAAAGTAAGTAAATACAGTATAATAAAATTAAATCTACAGCATGTAAATATTAAATTTGCTTTGGTTGTTGTTTTAATGTAAAAAAATAAATAAACATAATATTAGATATCGGCAAAAAAAAAATACAAACAGAATGTCTCGTTTTGCCCCGCATCATGTTGGCATCAAATAGCCTAATTTCCAGACTATTTTATTGAAGAAATAAAATACCAAAGAATGGAAATTAAAGGAAAAGGCCTAAAGATTCTAATTAAAAAAAAACTTTAAATATAAAAAGCTTTTCCACTCAGTGAGATCAAAAAAGGCTAGGAAAAAATATAATAACAACTCTTAAAAATTCGTAATTTTCGTGAAGCCAAAAATTACGAATTTTTAAGAGTTGAAATGACTCCCCTTTTACTCAACTTTTTTATTTCAAAGTGACTCAATAAATTTTTCTTGACACTTTTAAATATCTTGCAAATAATAATTTGTAGGGCTGGCATTATGTTAAACGCGAACTGTCTCGTATTGCCCCGCTGTCTCATTTTGCCCCGCATTACCCTAAGTAACTTTTTTTTTTCCAGTTTGAATAAATATTTTCTTTAAGTGGTTTTCAAATTGTTTATAATTGCCGTTTGGTGGACGATATACAGCTGTTACAAACGCATTTTTTTCTTTTAGATTAACTATCTCTATTGATAACTTCCTGTTCCTCTTCCCCTATGTGGGTGTGTAGGGAGAGAGTAACCCAAAAACGTGCGGATGCGTGCAAAGAAGGAGGAGGGTATTAAAGACAGTGAGTTTGTACGCGGTTTGTATATGTCTGGTCCTCTATGTCTCCTAGAACTTGGTTGAATTTTAGGAGTTTAAAAAATCAATATTTATTATCTAACATCGGTATGCCAAATTATCTAAAAGTTTTTGTTTTGCGTTAGGGAGGGGCTTGATTTTGTAATAAATAATGCGCACGTACGAAGAAAAGGCGGAAGTCGTTGAAAGCAAAAGTTGCGAACAAATGGGGTGGGTGATTTTAATACGTACTTTAGGGATGCCCTTTTTTTTATTTTTTGTTTTAGTAGATTGTTAATTAAAAAGTTAAAACTGATTAAATAAAAATTATTTTACGATTTTTTATGCGCGGAAACTTATGACAGATAAATGCAATTATTGGTCTATAAGTTTATCACCAGATGAAATCATGATAATATAGCCAGGCGTGTTGAAAATTTTGTTGGATGAAAAACTTAACTTTAATTTTTGGGTTTTCGGCCTTTTTTTAGTAACTGGGTATAATTCATGTTAAATAAAATGGTAGGTTTTGATAGTAGCTAATAGTATGTAGATTATACTACTTACAATATCTTAGAAATTTTAAGTTTTTTTTTTTTTTTTTTTTTTTTAATTTAAATAATATAATAACAATAAAACTTCTTTTTGTTTTCTACAATAATCTTTGCAACAACTTAGTTATACTTTTTACAATACTTTTATATCTCAAAAAAAAAAAAAAAAAAAAAAAAAAGTGGAAAAATTTAACTCTTCTAAGTTAGACCATCAAATATTAAAAACTGTTTTTTATAACAATACAAAGTAAAAAAATTGAAAAAGCTCTACTCTATATTTTTTTTATTTTTTTTGCAAATTTAGATTTGAAGATTGTCAAAAACATCAAAAATTATTATAATTTTTATTCAAAAATTTAGATAAAAAATGTGTCACCTCATTAGTTTATTCTTATCAAAATAGTCATTTTTTATTTCGACGATTAAAGCATTAAGCATAATGCTTTCTCTATCAGTTTTATCATAAGTTTTTGATGTTTCTATATTTAATTTTCCTTACGAAGTTGCTGTCAAACAATGTAAACTTATAAAATACATTTTTTCATAGCTTAATATTCTCGTTCTATTTTTATAAAAGGAATTATTATTCTTGTATTTGCTTTGATACTTTTGCATCAGAAATTTTTTCATTCCAGCTTATATCTTTATTTAAAAAAATATAAAAAAATTTTCATTCACATATACTAATACTAATTTTAAGATGGTCAAAATTAATCTACACAGATAAGAGAAGATTTTATTAAGAAAATAGGGGGGAGGGGGTATTCTTTAAAAGTACGGACTGGTTCCTAAAAATAAAGAAGGTCCTCAAAATGAATAAAGTCAAACACCCCACTCTATTTGTCATAATACCGACTATAACTTAAGAATTACCTATAATTGCCTGAAATAGATTATCAACAGTATTAACAAAGCTGTAACAATCCGGACACTTAATTGTCACAGTTTTGTTAATTAAATTTCCAGATTGTAACAGCTTTGTTAACATGGTTGATAAAATGTGTATATGAGTTTTGGGTAACTTAATTTTTCAATTTTGTATTATTACATTTTCAATCTTTGCTATTGTGAATAGTGCTAATTAACAGTATCCACAGCAGCAAGCAAGATTAAAAAATAAATTTATCTTATTCACAGTATTATTTACGGTTTATTTTTATTCATTAATTAATTAACCTGCACGTACACAACTTGAAACAAGATCAATATTGAATTAATTTGTATTAACATTAAATTAAACTGAAATAATATCTAGATTGTTTATCTGCTGTCTTTCTGTTGCTATCAAATTTTGAAAAAAAAATATCTTCTTTTCAAAAAACTTCCAAAACTTTATTTAGATACTTAAAATTTTATTATTTCTTATTATTTGCTATTTTTTTCATTATTTATGTAAACTTATGTAAAAAACAAAAAGGCCAAAATTTTTATTATACAATAATTATGACGGTTTTTTAAAGAAAAAGTGTTATGACGGCATATTAGAATATTCAAAATTTTAAATCAAAGAATTGAGTAAAAAAATGTTATTTCTTATGAATTTAACAACTACTTTGTTACTATCGATGCTGATCTTGCATCTAGAATTTAATACCCCAAAAGTTCATTTGGAAGTTACTAAAAAGCTCTCATAATTTGTTAAACTTAAAAACTTAATGAATTAAATCAAAAAAAAACTCAAAATAGATATAAAATTGCTAAAGAGAATCACTTTTACAGTATTGATGCCATTTCTGATGGTCATTTTTACGGTATTTCATTTTTGCGGTTATTGATGGCATTTCTTTTAAAGTAGTGCAAGATGCTTGCAGGGAGATACGTATTCCTATATTTCAAATATTCAATTTATCATTTATAATAGTTATTACACCAAAACAAATTATAACTTTCTAAAACTGTATCAATATATAGGAGAAACCTACTATTTAAAAAACTACCCAGCGGTAGTTTTAAACGTCTACTAAACATCCCAGTAAACACACGACGTCTTAAAGACATTTATAAAACGTCTTTTAGACGTCTAGACATCGTTTGTTTACTGGGATTCTTACGTAAAGAACATTTAAAAGACGTTTGAAAAACGTTTTTTACTATCGATGCTGATTTCTTGAAAAACTTCTATTTTAGTTACTAGATAAATAAATTTTAATTCCTCGGACAATATAAGTTTCATCGGTATACTTTTTTTTATAAATAGTATTTTAAACATTAGTAAAGATTTCCAGAAAGTTACAGGATTGCACTATGAATCATATAGTCACAGCAATCGTTTAAATGCAGTTTATGAATGATCACGCACGGAAGTCACCCACGGATGTTGCAAATTTATCAACTTCATATAGTTATTTTTATGAAAATAAATTGCTTGTGAGTATTTCAAGTAAAATATTATACTTCTGCAACTCATGTTTAAAATATTTTCGATGAGAAACGGCAGCCATCAAATATTTTTAGCTAGAGTATTGCGTTTTGAAATTTATTATATATTTTTAAAATTGTAACGATATTATTACTCAAAAATAAAATTGTAAAAATGTGTATATTTAGTTTACTCAGATAGCTTAAAATGGGATAAAAATATTTTTCTTATAATAGTTCTTTAAGAAAATCAAAATAGTATGCATATTGCATAAAGTCCCAGCTTTTAATTGCTAAAACAAAGAAAAATAAAAAATCACGAACAGAAATGGAAATGCCCATTAATATTTTTGATTATTGCAGCGACAAAAGAATTAAAAATGCAAATTCACCCTTTGCCGACTTGGAGTTCCTTTGCCGACTTAGCCTTGTCACAGCTAAAAATCTGACCCCGTTTAAAAAGATACAATTTTTATCTTTATTTGAAACGGCAAGAGCTCGCAAAGCAAATTTTTTTTTTTCAAGTATCATTGAAACCCATATCAATTCCCTTCCCTGGTCGGAGAATTCAGATCTGTTTTAAAGTATTCTTTAACAATTAATTTACTGTTTGATATGTTTTCTCATATATAGTGACAATTGCTAATACAAAGTCTTTCAGAGGCTTTTGCTATAAATCTTTCTGGGTCAACAATTGACACCAGATGTCTCATCTGTCTACGAGTAATGTTTGGTTGTTTCAATAGATTTGCCCCGTTGTTTTAATAAATAATGATGAAATTAGCTATAATATGTTTGCCATGCAAACTATTTGCGCAGTGATTAATTAATTCATTTGTTTCTTATTCGTGTTGCATAAATTGATTGGTAAAATACACTACCCGTCCTTTCTAAGATCTCATCGTGACGAAGAAATTTTGGAGGGTGCTCTGTTTCCAATTATCAAAGTTATTACTATCAAATTATCAAAATGCTATAATGTTGTTACACATTAAACTGAAATTAATTACAAATTTAAATGATAACTTTAATAATTGAAAAATGCCACCTTTTACAGAGGATTTTTTAACTTGCACTTTAAAAATGCCAACGTTTTAATTTACGGCATTTGTGCGACGTACGACGTAGGCCTTTAATAAAACTGGATTTATTTTGCATAATCATCTTCACCAATTTAAGCGTATATGAAAGAAAATTGTATAGACATTTTTCTTAGATAATATAAAAATACAAAATGACTACGCTTGAAGACAAAGAAATCTGGAAGGATGCAGAAGAAGGATTAGGTGCTGAAGTTTTAAGAATGGGAAATGATGAACTAATTAGTAGAACAAGATTATTAGACAATGAAATTAAAATTATGAAAAGCGAAATCTTACGTGTATCACATGAACAACATGCTATGAAAGAAAAAATTAAAGAAAATGTTGAGAAAATAAAAGTTAATAAAACTCTTCCTTATTTAGTATCAAATGTAGTTGAGATTCTTGATGTTGATCCTCAAGACCAGGAAGAGATTGATGGAGCAAATGTTGATTTAGATTCTCAGAGAAAAGGTATACACGCTTTTTGTTTAATTAATACATATATGCAAACATACATATATACATACATACATACATACATACATACATTCATACATACAAACATACATTCATACATTTTTGCATACTTCCTCAACAATTTATAATCGATGAAACTGTTAGCAAAAGAATTTTAAATAAGTGCTATTCTACAAATTTATTTTTTCTCTGACCATTAGCACTCATTTGTTACTACACTGTATACATGTAATAAAAGAGGTTGTATATGTGCTTGAATATTGTGTTGGATGAGTACATACATTTTTTTTTTGTTTGTTTCAGATCATTTATTGATAATTGAGTGAAGTTTATTGGTTATGTAGAAGATGTTTATGTAGCTATAAGGAGTTATAAGCTATATAAGCTTATTGCACCTTAAAAAATTTTAGTAATTAATTTTCTATTTTAAATATACAGACAGAGGAAGTAAAGTTTTTTCTAGTATCTCTTTATAAGTGTACTGGTTGATTGCCTGCATACTGTGATTAATATTTTTTTTTAATACTTAGGAAATTTGAGTTTGACTACAGTTAAAAACTTGAGCTACTTTCTTTTGGGAGCACCCTGACTTATTTTCAAAAAATGCAGCAATCTTTGGAGTATTTTCTTTAGTAGCTACCTTAGCGATTCGACCACTTCCAATTTTTCTTTTTAGAGATCCATTCTCCAATTTTACGATGTTCTTGTAAGCAGTTGATCTGGGTAAACCCCATTCCATAAACTGCTTAGCAACAAACGCTTTACCTTTTTCTCGATTTTTTTGGAAAAAAATTTAAATCATTTTTTCGAGGTCCTTTATTTTGACTATTTTATTTTCAATATTTAAATAATATTTTTAACTTAATTAAATTAAATTTAAATAGATCATAAAATCCTTTTTCAAATAAGTATAACAGTTTTTTGCGTGCATGAAATAAATTACATAATAAGTGCAATAAAAATTTGTCCGAAATTTTATTTATAGGGTGTTATAAATAGAAATTTTTTGTTTTTAACGTCCCTGTTAAAATATAGTTATCAGTTTACTAATTTAATTAGTAAATTAACTATTAATTTTTATTAAATTAGTATTTTTAATTTACTAATTTAATAAAAGTAATTTGATGTTAATAGGTTGCCCCTTAAAATGATTTATCTACATTAAAAAGTTTTAAGTTGCCCTTTAAGAAGATTGGTTGTCATGTCTATAAAACATTGGTATTGTACAAACATGGTAGCCCATGTACAAGCCTTCTAAGGTGTGCGGCCACAGTTCTTTTATGACCACACATACAGTATTATTTTTACAACTCAATATAGTTTTTTGCATGTTTTGATATTTTGTGCGTTTAAAAATGTGCTGAAAAAACTCAACTAATTTGAAGAGAAATTTTAAAAACAAACAAACCATAAACTGAAGAAAGAAACAAATTTGATGAATGATAAATAAATAAAGGATACACCAGAGAAAATAAAAGTATAAAAATAATATATTTTTAAATTTAGAAGTGTCTCAATTTATAGTCCAAATCTAATAATAAATTTTATTTAAAATTGCCTCAGTTAAAAGTTTAAAATTAATAATTTTTCCCAATTCGCTACGTTATTGTAGCCCCAATGTTGATTTATTTTTATATTTATGAGGTGTGACTGTTAGTTTGGCATAGAATAAAGGTTTAAATCCTTTTAACATATTATTTTTTTAATGTTTTATTTTCTTAGTAGACATTAGGGACTTTTCATAAAGTACGTACGCAAGTATGAGGGATGGGTAGTTACTTACAGGGTTATTCATTCTTATATGCACGTCTATTCATTTTCATATGCGTCTTTATTCATTCTTATATGCGCATTTTTTCATTTTTATATGCGTCTTTATTCATTTTTATATGCGCCTTTATTCATTCTTATATGCACATTTATTCATTCTTATATGCGCCTTTATTCATTTTTATATGTGCCTTTATTCATTCTTATATGCGTTTTTTAAAAGCAATTGTAAAAAAGCAATTTGAACAAAAAAAAATCATTTAAGCACTTTGTTTTAAAAAAAACAGTTTATTTTTTCAAAAAATTTTCTTATTTCCAGGTAAACGAGGTTAAAAATAATAAAACACGAAGACTTTTTACATTCGATGATGGTTTATTTAATTTAGTATTATTTCTTTGTTTTCGATGATAGTTTATTTAATTTAGTATTAGTTCTTTGTAATTTTATTATTAAATTTCTTGATTGATTAAGTTATTATTTATCTAATTATTCATATCTAGATTTAAATTTAATTATTTTTAATTATTATTAATATAAAATTATACATCCCTATGGATGGAATAGAAAATAGCAGTACCAATCGTAAAACAAGGGAAAATGTTACAAAAGAGCACATTGAAATGCTTAAGCAGTTAATTGAAAGAAATCAATCTACAACAAGCATTTCCACTTCTTATAATTTATCGAAGCGCACAGTTCAAAATCTTGTCGTTAAGTTAAACAGAGGATAATTCGACGACATGAATGCATTCAAGTCGTTTTCTGATTAAAAAAATGAGGTAAAAGACCTATAAACTCTCAAAAAAAAAATTATTGAGTTATGCGTAAAGAAAACAATCTTTGCATGCAAGAAACGATAAAAAAAAATCTTTCTGCAGCAGGCTTCAACATGTCTCAGCCCCCTATTTCAAGAAAACTCAAACACTCGGATTTATCAAGAAAACTTGTTTTTCATGTGCCGAAGAACAAAACTCAACACCAGTTATTAATGCACTCTATACATTTGCAAGCGAAATAAACGGAATTTCAGATGAAAAACTTTATTTGGATGAAACTGGATTTAATGTGCACACTATGGATGAATAAACACGCATATTAGAATAAATAAATGCGCATATAAAATCGAATAAACACACATATAAGAATGAATAAAGGCGCATATAAGAATGAATAGACACGCATATAAAATGAATAACCCTGTAATCACTGGTGCCATCATTGTAGTTATGAAAGTACAAAATGAATCTGCATTCCAGCCTCCAGTTTTTATTTCATAAGCAAGAACTCCCATTGTTGAAACAGCACAAATTAAACTAACATTCTTACCACGATTTGCAGGTGACTGTAAAGTTTCTGACATACCTCTTAGCAATCAATCATATGTGCTGTTATTGTGCACATTAAATCCAGTTTCATCCAAATAAATAAGTTTTTCATCTGAAAATCCGTTTATTTCGCTTGCAAGTGCATAGCGTGTTGAGTTTATTTCGCTTGCAAGTGCATAACTGGTGTTGAGTTTTGTTCTTCGGTACATGAACAACAAGTTTTCTTGATAAATCCGAGCGTTTGAGTTTTCTTGAAATAGCAGGCTGAGACATGTTGAAGCCTGCTGCATAAAGATTTTTTTTTATTGCTTCTTGCGTGCATAGATTGTTTTCTTGTGCGCATAATTTGCACTTAATTGCATAATTACCTGGAAATAAGAAAATTTTTTGAAAAAATAAACTGTTTTTTTAAAACAAAGTGCTTAAATGATTTTTTTTTTGTTCAAATTTCTTTTTTACAATTGCTTTTGTAAAACGCATATAAGAATGAATAAAGGCGCATATAAAAATGAATAAAGGCGCATACAAGAATGAATAAATGTGCATATAAGAATGAATAAAGGCGCATATAAAAATGAATAAATGTGCATATAAGAATGAATAAAGGCGCATATGAAAATGAATAAATGTGCATATAAGAATGAATAAAGGTGCATATTAAAAAAAATAGACACGCATATAAGAATGAATAACCCTGTAAAAACATGGATTTGTACAAGGGAAAGGGGGGTAGTAAAAACAGCAAGTATGTACACTGTTTGACTGGAGTTCTCTATCTTGATTTCTGATTTACCTTTAATGCTGATTCAAAATCATAAAAACACAGGTCTGGAAATTCATAGAAAGTATTCTAATTTGATATTTGAATTTAAAAAAGTTACGTTAAAATGCTAATAATTGCTATCTCTTTTTCTCATGATTAAGTTACTTTCAAAACATAAAAAAATATATACAGTCTGGTTTTCATTGCCATAATAAAGCAATAAAAAATCTTTCTTTTGTAATAGAATTGTTTGATAACTATTATATAAATTATATTAATAATTTTATAGGTACTAATAATTATTTAGATAATCAAAAATTTGAATTTCTTGTTTAGGAAAATGTGCAGTTGTAAAAACTTCAACTCGTCAAACATACTTCCTACCTGTAATTGGTCTTGTAGAACCTGAAAATCTTAAACCAGGAGATTTAGTAGGAGTAAACAAAGATTCTTATCTTATTCTTGAAACGTTACCATCAGAATATGATGCCAGGGTCAAAGCTATGGAGGTTGATGAGCGTCCTACTGAACAGTATAGTGATATTGGTGGTCTTGACGCACAAATTCAAGAACTCATAGAGGCTATAGTACTCCCAATGACTCACAAAGAGCGTTTTGAAAGGTTAGGTATGAAGTTTATTTCTAAATCTTTTAAAGAAATTTATTTTGTAAACTTAATTATATTTTCAGAATGGTTCATTTTATGTAATTGTTTTTTAAGCTATTCAATTTTATCAATTGAAGAAAATTTTCTATGACACTGATCTCAGATAATACTGAAATTCAGACTTTTTTTTTATATGAACTCCTCTTTAAAAACTATTTAAAAGTTAAATTATATGAAAACATTACAAATAAAGTTACCAAGAAATGTCTTTTTCAGACTTTCAATAACCTCTAATGCCTGTAAAAAAATTTAACAATTCTATAAAAATAATTTTTTTTTTCAAGTCAACAAAATAAAATTATTTAAATAATAGCTAAAGTTATTATTTCATATCCGTACTTAAATATATGTAAGAAAATTTTATGGTTTCATAAAGTTAAAAAAAAAACTGTTACAAAGTTATGTTATGAAGTAAAATAGTTAGGCTTCTTTCTTTTGTAAATTGTGAAATAATCTCACTTTCAAATTAACAAATATTAAATTAAAGAATAGAAAAGATTGCATTAATAAAGTAATAAATGAAATAAAATCAAAAAAAAATGTCTCTGCTATCGATCTTTTTACCAGCAAAAGCTAATGAAAGAAAAGATAATTTTTTTTTTTCAAGTTTCAATTTAGGTGCAATATTTATATATTTTTTTCACATATTTAATCTGTGATCTTTTAATATTGTATATAAAAACCTGTGGGTGTATGTGTTTTATATGTATATTTATGTTTACATTTTTTTTTTTCTTTTTCTCTACATTAGTCATTTTGTTATTGATATTTTTATTACTGTGATAGATTTTTGGTTTTGTGTTTTTCTTGTTTGTTTTTACACTCAAGTGTTTTTAAACTATATAAGTGATATCTAATCTGATTTTTTAAATTCATAATTAAACTTGAATGTTTGCAATTTTCAAGTTAAAAGTTTTATTGTGTTAATCTTTTGTTATCTTTTTCCATAACATAATCTACTTCTTGATAAATATTTGATTTTTTTCTTCTAATGTTTAGTATCCATGGTTCCACGCTTGTATTGGCTGAACCGGTTTCAATAATGTTTTTTTTCTTATTTAAATATGACATAAAAAATTTGAAGCAACTGAAGGGATAAGTGGACCAAGGTGTTATCTGATAAAATTTAAAAATCCAACTTTTTTTTGCATAAACATAAGTTAAAACTGATGGAAAATCAATTCATGAACTTAAAATTAAAATGGCGTACAATTACTATGTAACAAATTACTATGCGATGAGTTCAAATTGGTTAAAGATTTTTTAGTTTCAGATAACACTTTTCTCCGCTTAGTCCTTAAATTTTTTTACAACCGGGTGCCCATCTCATCACAGGTCTAATAAATTACTTTTAGTCATTAAAAAAAAGTTTACTTTAAATATTAATTAAATTAATAAAACACTAATTTTTTAAAAATGCATAAAAGTAATATGTTTATTTTAATATATATGGTAATTTGAGCCTAGTCCACAAATTTAGTTTAATATTAAAAATTGAAATTTTGCTATAACCAACAAAAGAATATTTTTCTAAAAAGTCCTCAATAAGTTTTCTAGCATTTCTTAATCATTAGTTATGATTATATACCTTCCAAGGTTTTTCAGCTTTTCGTGCCATTAGTTTTTGTTTTTTTTTAATTTTCAATTAAAAAAATTTTAATGAAAAAACTAAATGAGCAGAAATATTATTTTGTAAAATCCAGACTTGTAATAGAATTTTAAACTTAACTTCAGGTGTATCACCACCCAAAGGTGTTTTGTTATATGGCCCTCCTGGCACTGGGAAAACACTACTTGCTCGTGCATGTGCAGCTCAGACCAAATCAACCTTTTTAAAACTTGCAGGACCACAGCTAGTCCAAATGTTTATCGGTGATGGTGCTAAACTTGTGCGAGATGCATTTGCACTTGCAAAAGAGAAACTCCCTGCTATTATATTTATCGATGAACTTGATGCTATTGGTACAAAGCGCTTTGATAGTGAGAAAGCAGGTGACAGAGAAGTACAACGAACTATGTTAGAACTGCTAAATCAGTTAGATGGATTCAGCTCAACTTCACAAATAAAGGTTATATATGATATTAAATTGTTTGTAGATTTTGTTTATATATATATATATATATATATATATATATATATATATATATATATATATATATATATATATATATATATATATATATATATATATATATATATATATATATATATATATATATATATATATATATATATATATATATATATATATATATATATATATATATATATATATATATATATATATATATATATATATATATATATATATATATATATATATATATATATATATATATATATATATATATATATATATATATATATATATAGTAGTAGTAAAAGTAATAATAATGGTAATAATAATTATATTTTTGCCTTGCAAATTGATGAAATAGGTAATAGCAGCAACCAATCGAGTTGATATTTTGGATCCTGCTTTGTTACGCTCTGGTCGTCTAGATAGAAAAATAGAGTTTCCTAATCCGACAGAAGAAGCTCGTGCTAGAATACTTCAAATTCACTCTCGCAAAATGAACGTTAGTCCTGAGGTAATGATAATAATAGGTAATTGTGTAGAGTGTTGCAAAATATTGAAAGTTTATTACAAATATTTTAATCTGGTCACATTTTTTTAATTTACAACGAGAATTTTCATTATTTGCAGGTTAATTTTGAAGAATTGGCACGCTGTACAGACGATTTTAACGGAGCCCAATTAAAAGCAGTTTGTGTTGAAGCTGGTATGATAGGGCTGCGACGAGAAGCCACAGAGCTTAGTCATGAAGATTTTATGGATGGTATACTTGAGGTCCAAGCCAAGAAAAAGTCAAATTTGGTTTATTACGCTTAATTTAATCATCAACGTAATTATTTATTATCAAACGTTTATTATTACTTTTGTTAAGTAAATGCTAAAGGTTTATGAAAATTAATCGTTATTACCTAACTTTAACTATTTGTAACATTATATTGAATGAAGATAAGAAGATTAAAATACAAACAAAAAAGTTTGTTGTATATAGTGGCCAATGGTCTGATTACTATAGGAGATGTGCCGAATAAAAGTTTTAGTTATCAGGCCGGGAACCTGTATACCGGTTACATATATCTATGTTGGATATAAATTTTATGGCTCATAAACAAATACGATTTTTTTCTTTACGAATAATCATATCAACTGATGTAAACAGTATAAAATTTATTTGCATATAAATTTGGCAATCAATACAAAAGCGTAAATTTATAACTAATTCCTGTTTCCTTAAAAAATAGATCACGGGCCACGCCATGCAAATAAAGTTATAGGGGGTGGGGATGAAACTTTTACTTAAAGAGCCATTTTCTAAGAAAACCGGGCAAAAGTGGTGTTGGCTTAAAAGTGATACAATACGAATTATAAATGGCAACCATCGAGTAAGTTTTGTTATTAGAAACCCGTCAAATCCTTAGATTCTTCGGCCCTGATAAAAACCATATAAAACCCGAACGAGCAAGTATGTTTGATTTTTTACCATATGAAACCCATCTGGAAACCAAAACACTTGAGTAATTTGATTTACTATTTTTTTTTAAATAAACCAATCAATTTATATATAAACTTGCTTTTTCTGTAAATTTTAAACATTTAAACGTAGTTTTGCAAGATTTGCAATGTGTAAGCGTCGTGGGAACCTCACGGGATACCCGGTGGGCATACCCATATGGGCCCCAGAAGAAAACCGCGGCCAAGATTCAGCGGGTTCCCGATGGGTTTCCCATATGGGTCCTATTTGCAAACCCAAATGGGTCTCTTACGGTTTTAAAGTACGGGATTCGACTGGCACCCATACGGGATACCCGGCGGGCTAACCCATATGAGTCGCATATGGAAACCGCGGCCATGAACGGTTTTTGACTTTTCTTACGCCCCTGCGTAAGAAAAGTCAAAAACCTAAATATGTTCCTTGTGGCACGGAGCTTTAATTACGACCGGACAAAATAATATACTAACATTTGGATGTTGTCGTCGTCTTTATTAATGAAATTCATACCCGATGGAGGTTAAGATTGTTGTTGACTTAATTATCGGGTCTTAAAAGATATTTTGGTACGACAACTCCATCAAACAATCTGGTCTCTAAATTATTCAGGGATTATCCTTTCAGTATAATTCCCGATATTTTTTTATATTTTAGTTTATCCGGATATCCAAAACATTTTCTATACATTCAAGTTTAGGTATAAATTTTTGTAAAATGTTTGTTTTTGAAGCTTTTTCAGTCATCACTCAAAAAAAAATAAAGATTAAAAACAATTTAGCTAAAATCAAAATTAGGAGGAATATAGAGGAAATTATATTCCGGATATTTTACCAAAACAACCTTCCGGATATTTTAAATATGACCTGGATAATCTATGATTGTTACATAAGTTGATATATCTCTCTAAAATCGCGATCCAGATTAGATTATGGATTTTTTTTTAAAGACATGAACTTCATAGTTTAATAATATTGTCTGTTCTACAAATTTTCAAAATGAAAATATGTAGAATAGATTATATTATTAAACGGGCTTTTTTTCCTTCGCTAATAGAATCCGTTTCTATTGGCGATAGAGAGCGTCTATTCAGTAGACTTGCTATAGTCAAGATATCGCTAAGGTCTGCAATGCTACTACATTGCAAGTACTCCGTTAATTAGGGTTCTAGTTCATAATTTTATGTGCGTTTGTATGTTGTTTTAAACAAAGTTCAAAAGAGTTAACTTAATTTAGAAATAAGCTGTCCAAATTAAGCACAGGCTTCAATTATTTAACAGTTTGCAGAAAAGTGATTTCGCTCTATAAAAATTACAGCATCACGATTACCTAACTAAATAATGCATTCTGAAACTAAGCGCCCTCGGTTTATAATCTATATCGGAACTAACCGCATTACAGAAAATAATCTAACTCCGAATGCCAGTGTTCAGCCTAAATGAACTGCCGATGCTTTAGGACAATTAAAAAATCTGAATACTTAAAGCGGTTACGATTGATGATTAAATGGTTTTTTAGGAAGTTGCTTTGAGTTTTTTTTACCTTTTTCATAGGGTAGATGCCTTAACTCTGGAATCAATTTAGTTACTCGATGTTGAATAAATTCTAATTTATGTATATCATTTTTATTATGAGGATTCTATACTGTAGATGCATATTTGAGAGTAGGTCTTACAAAAGTGCATTACAAAATCTTCATTGTGTTTTGTATTTGTAAGTAAATGATTTGGATAATTGACCTAGTCAACTATTTGCTTTATTTACAACCATATTTACATGATGATTCCACTTTATAGCATTTGATATTACCACACTAATGTCTTTTTCTATAGTTGTTAGCATTGATATTACCACACTAATGTCTTTTTCTATAGTTGTTGAATTTAATTTTTAATCTTTTATATAAAATTCAAAGTTCTTATTTTGTTTTCCAAAATGCATGATTTCACATTTTCAGGTGTTAAAATTTATCATCCATTTGTCATACCATTCAGTTATTAATATGGTCTTGCAAGCTTTTTAAGTTTATTTGGTTATTAACTATAGCAATAATTTTGTTATCATCTGCATAAAGTTTACGTTTATTATTAAGTTTAGAGGGTAAACCATTGACATATAACAAAAACAGTAATGGTCCAAGTACAGAATCTTGTTGAACACCGCTCCGCACCTCTAACCAATCTGATTTTGTATCACCAATTATAAAACGTTGTTTTCTATTTGATAAATATGCTTTTATCCAATTTAGCATTTCTTTTTCTATACCATAACCACATAATTTTGATATTAATCTTTCTATACATATAATTTTGATATTAATCTTTCTATACATATAATTAATATTTTCTATAACATAACCACATAATTTTGATATTAACCTCCATCAAATGGTTTCTGAAAATTGGTATATAAAATGTCTATTAAATTGCCTATCATTAGTTGGTGTTATAAAATTTAATGATTCTAATAAATTGTTTATACAACTTTTACCCTTTAAGAAACTATGTTGTTGATTGCAGAAAAGAGTTTTTTATTCTGAATAATGTTTCAAACCATCACTTATAATTTTTTCTAATACTTTGCAAGGCATGGGTGTCAAAGATACTGGTCGATAATTTATTGTTTGCAGTTTACTTCCGTTTATAAATACAGGACACACATTAGCCATTTCCCAGTGATCATGAAGATCACTATTTAATAAACTTTGTTGATAGATAATTGAAAGTGATATTGAAAATTTTTCAGAGCAGAACTTCAACACATAAGGATTTACTTCATTATACCCACTATTTATGTCTGATTTATTTGTGTCTAATTTTGACAAATATGATTTCACTAGTGCAACTATTTTCCAAATCTCCTATTTGTTTGTACTTCAAAATTACAATCATTTGCATTTTTTTCATTTTATATTTTATATAAACAGAACGAAAATACATGTTTAAAATATCAACAATAATAGGTTTGTCATACATTGTTGAACCAATATTATTATTATGTGCTCTTATATGATTTTTTACTTTCAGTTTTTTTCTAATATATGAGTATAATAATTTGGGTTCTTTTTTTACCTGTAAAGTATTAGTTTTTATATTATTTAATATATTGATAATTATAAATATGAAAAATTATCTATATATAAAATAATTGATTAAATATCAGTTATTAAATACTATTTTTTATTAGCATTTAATAACTGATAAAAACTAATAGTTTTTAATTTATTAAGACTAATAAAAATAAAAAACAGTATTCAATAAATTAAAAACTATTAGTTTATCAATTTAGCAGCGCTATGTCTAGGGTATTCAATAATGTATCAAATTCTTTCACAAGTACTATAAATAAGCATTATTTGTTATATTTAGATAAAACTTAAGTTTTTTTTTTTAACTTTAGTTCGTCTAGGGTTGTTTCAAAACAAGTCAGTACAGATGAAGTTGTAAATAAACGGTACAAAATAAATTTAATTTAATAATTTAAAAATATTTTTTTTAAAAGTTATTACAATATATATATATATATATATATATATATATATATATATATATATATATATATATATATATATATATATATATATATATATATATATATATATATATATATATATATATATATATATATATATATATAATATTTTTTTTAAAAGTTATTACAATAAAAATTTTCTATTTTCGCTTTCTGTTTCGATCGTATATTGTATTGCAGGGTGTAATTTGTTTAAGATAGTTAGGAATTGTTCTGCTTCTTGAGTGTTGGAAAATCTAGCGTGACTATTGTCAACATATCTTAGATAGGATTTTAATTCAAGAGGAGGATTTACTGCCATTGAAATTTTGAAAGCGTTTTGTTCATGATGTTGTAAAAATAATTCTTCAAGTACGACCATGAATGAAAGGCCTATAGAACCAGAACTCTCAAGTTCATGGATTTCGTTGTTCCAAAGGAAATAACAACGGTGTAAAGAAAGCTCTATGAGTTGTTTTGTTTCAGATATAGTAAGTTTGGTAGAACATTTGTAGGAATCACTTTATTTAATTGGTTTATGAGAACTAAAGTGGCTTCCTTTAGTGGTATTGATGGATACAAGTTTATTACATCAAATGAAACTTGAACCTCGTTTTTGTCAATCTCCCATGAATTCGCTTTACTAATGAAATCAAAATAATTTTTCAGACGTGTTTGGTTTTTGTTTAAGACAGGTTGTATTACAGGTTGTATGAAAACGCAATATTTAAAGGTTACGTTCACAGGGCTTATTCTTTATGCAGTAATTTATATTTGCAAGATGAGATTAATTTCCTTATTCAAATGTTTAACGAAAATGTATATAACTAAATATATATATAAATATATATAACTTATATATATATATATATATATATATATATATATATATATATACATA